ATTGCTTATACTCTCTCTACAACAAAATTAGAAATAAGGGCAAAATAGTTTCTGCTGGGTATTGAGGGGGGGGAGCAGGAGGGGGTGGAGTGGGTGCTAAGGGAGGGGGTGGGGGCAGGGGGGAGAAATGAACCAAGCCTTGTATGCACATGTGAATAATAAAAGAAAAATGAAAAATAAATAAATAAATAAATAAAAATAAAAATTGCCTGCCTGGGATTCTGCCCCAGAGAGGCTGGATTCACAGATACACATAGCCTAGAAAGATTGGGGCCTACCATTCTACAACACAAGTCTGTTCAGGCAACTTTCCTTGCTTTGAAGTATCTATCAAATCTCATAAACCCTTCAAAATTATTTTACCATTAGTGTAATTACTTTCTTAGTAGTAGTATAATTAGGGTCAAATTCTGACAAAGACTGTACCATTTGCATATAATATAGCACTCAAAATCACAAAGATGTTAGATTTTATTCCTGTAATAAAGGCAATTCATCAGTCACTACAAATAACTGAAGAACTGGACTTACCCGTTCCATGGCTGCATTGTGATATGGGAGCTCTTCCTCACTGCAGAGAATAAATATATGTAAAACAGCTAAAATCAGAGCACTTTTAAAGAATTATAAAAGTTTTTAAATTCTTTAAAAAAAATCAGGATACACAATATTTATTTGTCACTACAAAAGTTATATGAGCTTCCATTCCACTGAGTTCAACATAAAGTAGTAGTTATTCTGAAGCTACAATGTTCTCCAACTTTCAATCTCCAGACTGCACTGTCCAATACATTAGCTAGTAGCCACAAGTGTAAGTTAAAGTTAAATAAAATTTAACATTGTATTATTCAGTCTCTCCAGTCACAGTTCAAGTACATGAAAGTCACTTAGCTAGAGTCAGCCGTATTGAACATTTCCATCACTGCAGGAAGTTCTACTGGACAATACTGTTCTAGACCAGGAGTCCCAACACAGTAAATATTTAAATAGAAAACATTTTAGGCTTTGTGGACCATAGTTTTTCATAACTACTCAACTCTAGTATTGTAGTATGAAAGCAGCTACAGATAATATATAAACTGAGTGTGATATTGTTCCCACAAAGCCTTTATAAAAAGAGATGGTGAGCTGGATTTGGTCTGCAGTTCAATCCAGCAAGCTTTGCTCTAGACTACCACTTCCACTCTTGGTTTCAACTAGGGTCTATAATAAATGACTGCTTCAAATTTAGCATAAAATGGCCTCCAATGGAATTGTGAATTAAAAAGAAAGTTTCTAAGGCCTGGAGTAATGATTCACACCTATATCCCAGATACTCAGGAGGTAGAGACAGGAGGATCACAGTTTGAGGCCATCTTTGGGAAAGGTAGTGTGATACCCCATCTAAAAATAAAAAAGCAGAAGGACAAAGGGACTTGGCTCAAGTAGTGGAGTGCTTAAGAGGAACCATGAAGCTATAGCAATGGAACTGACAAAAAAAATACAATAGCCAAAAAAGATTTTAGACAGAAAATCCAAATCCCTCACTGCACACATAAGAAAACTAACTTTTTTACTCAGCCTAATATAGAAATGTTCAGCACTGTCTAATCCAGTGGATTCAAATTAAGATTTTGAGCAAGTGCAGGAACATATGAAGAAAAAGGATAAAGGCTGAGAAAACAGTTCTCAAGAAGAAAAGAAACTGAGGATTAAATACAAGGTCTCAGGACTTGTACATGGATGACAGAGTAAGAATGCTTCCCATACAGATTTTCTTGCCTTATTTCTATCCCTAAAGTTTTTCATACAGAATCTGCAGTGTATATATACCAATCACCACATAACTTTCCCTCCTCAAGTCTCTGTGTTGGCATATGCTGATGTTCACAGTCTTACAAAGAAAACACAGGAGAAAGCCACCTTATCAAGAGCTCCATGTGATGTCCAGAACACACATCAGCTCATTGAAGGGGCTTGGTAAATGCTGTTGAATGAATGTGTGGACAGAAGGACAAATGCATCCATTACTGCATCTTTACCTAACCACCTACACATCCTTCAAGCAGAAGAGAGGAAGGGCTACAGTCTGGTTAATGCAGAATATTTTTTTCAAGTCAAATGGGGCCCAGCCCACTGTCTATGTTCATAAAGAGTTTTAATGGAAAGCTGGCATGTTTATTTGTGGTTCTTTTTGTTATTTGTGGTTATTTTCATGCTACAGCAACAAAGTAGAGTAGCATGTGACAAAGACATACAGCCCATAAAGCCAAAAACATTTATTATCTAGTTCTTTATAGAAAATGTTTGCCAACCCCTGCTTTGGAGAATAGGATTTAAGGGCACCTGGAGGCTGCTTAAAGAATGTACCAAGCTGACAAATAGCTGTATCTCACAGAAGCACAGTAAGTAAAAACAATGCCATAGTCATCAGAGGAAAGACAGACTTTAGCTAGATATATTTTTAATCTAAATAGATTGCCAAGTAGAGTATGTATGCCTGCAATTTCTTAACAGTTCAGATGAATATTTCTATAAATGTAAGATGCACCTTCATTTGGAAACTCAAACATTTAAGTTGTTCAATTGGTAAGCTGAATATACTAAGTTTCAGTTTTATTTGTGAAGTACACTTTATTTAAGTTTAGAGTCAACCTAGTCAAAATTTATAAGACAAGTAGAAACAGTTCTCAAGCCCTTGTAATCAGAACAGATAATCTTGAAAAACAAAAACACCTTCAATCTGGCTTTTATATATTTACATACAAGTTCTGGTAAGCTGTTGAACATGTGATGCTTGGTGTTAATTTTATCTTCTCTACTTCGGTGCAATTTCCTTTTAATTCTCCTATTAATAACTTGTGACCTAAAAGCATTCTTTATTATCCAAATACCAGGCATCCTTTGTTGAGCAGTCTAGCAGTGGCAATTTTTTATTTCAAGGTTTAAAGTTTTCCAACTTCTTAAGCAAGCTTATTTTTCCATCCTGCAGTTGAAAGCCATCATAGGTACATAGACTGGGGATGACACTCACTGCTGAGAACTAAACAAAGACACTGCTGCTCCAGTATCAAGCCAAGTTGATTTGGCCACAGGTTTAATATTTACTGTGAAATCTATTATAAAACCAAGTTAGTCCTATACTATCTTGGTTAATTTCAATCACTCTTTCTTTTGTTCTTTTTTTCGGTGCGGGGTGGGGAGGTAGCACTGGGCTTCTGAGCTTAGGGCCTTGTGAAGCAAGAGCTCTAGCACTTGAGCCATGCCCCCAGCCTTTTTGCTTTATTTTTGTTATAGGTCTCACATTTATGCCCAGGCTGGCCTGGACTATGATCCTTCATTTTATGATTCTTGCCCAGCTGGTAGAAAAGGCATGTCTCACCACACCCAACTTAATGATTAAGATGGGGTCTCAAATATTCCCTTCCAATCACCCCCACCTGGCCTTGAGCAGTAATCCTCTCAATTTCCACCTCCCAAGTAGCTAGGATCACAGGTGTGTGCGCTATGCTCAGTCTCTCATTCTTTCTTTATATATAACAAGTAGTTTAAGTTTTAAAGTTTCTAAAAGTGTAGTTAGATATGAATTTTGCAGCTTTCTCTTTTGTCATTTTATTGCATCGACATTGAACTTAAAGCCCAATTTCACTGCAGGACCAAACAAAAATTACAAATAACTAAGAGAATAGAATGCTCTCTTGGTTAAGATGTGACAGGGAGTAATACCTAAATGCCTTCATCAAGTGACTTTGCTCAGTAGTACAACAAACTCCAGTCTACAGTGACATGCAACAAAAAATACCAGCAGTAATCTCTGGAGACAGTGTTTTACTAAAATAAGGCACTGAAACAAACACCAACAACTTTGGAGAAATTTAATACAGCCTTATGTTACGCAAAAACACATTTCCACACTGTATTATTTTCATGTGTGCTGTGCTTTAGAACTGCATCATGGAGTAAATAAAAAGCAGTATGATGGCATGAAAATGGTGCCAGTCTACTTCACTTGGAAAGAAGTGGTAGGTGAGCTTAGTTATCTTAGTGTATTTACACATGGTCATTTTAAACAATACCCCCTTCATTTTCTTCCTACCACTTCAAAGTATATTCTGTATTTCTCTTATTAAAAGTATAAAAAGGCAATAATGGGCAGTATACTATAGTAGTGTAGAGCATAGGTCCCTCTTTTGAAACTGCCAAGGTCCACACCCCAGATCTGACACTCACTGTCAACATAACTTGGGGAAGTTACTTGACTTTGTTGTGCTTCAGTCTCATCACCTTAAAAAAAAACCAAAAAACAAGAATACCTACCGCTAAGAGTTTTTTTGAGGGGAATTAATTAATCCATGTGAAGGGCTTAGAACACTGCCTGGCATAGAGTAGGTGCTCAATGAATATTAACTAATGTTACTAAGATATGTTATTGACTGACTTATTTCCACTGGAGTCAAACAGAACTCAGCACAGAGAATAAAAAATACAAACCGCCTGAGTGCAACTTCTGGATTGCCAAATACAGTTAGGAGGATTGTTTCTAAGGTCCTGCTCATGCTCTTTCAAGGAGCAAGAAAAGAAAATATAGGTAATCAATAGATACTTTTGGAATGCACAAGTTTCTCATATGTACCTTATACTACACTGAACCATCTTATGACAAAAAGCACTACTGCAGTGCTTCCGTGCCATCTGAAATACTTAGGAAAGGGATCAGGGCATAGCTCAAGTGCTACAGCGCCTGCCTAGCAAGTACAACGTCCTGAATTCAAACCCCAGTATTGCAAAAAAAAAAAAGTATAGAGGTCTCTAGTCTGTGGAAATCTGAGTCAACAATACTAGGACCAGAACAAGCAGATTCACATCATTTGCAGGATGTTTCAAGAGCCCAAATCATGCTCACTGCTTTACTTCATGGTGGTCTAGTCCTCTCTCAACTCTTTATAGACAGCACACTCAGGAGTAAATGGAGTTAATTTTGAGAAGCAATAACATGAACACATTTCCAACTACACAGAAGACCAATGGCTTTTCTTCTCATTGCTCATTTTTAGACTGCAAAATGCTAATGTTCTAATTGCTAACTATTTTTAGATGCATTTATATAAAATTAAATGTTTCATAATTATTTTAAAAACACAACCTGTTCTCCATGTGCATTTAATTCTGCTAAATTAATACAACTCATTTATTGCAGTTAACATTCTCATCAAAATACAAAAAAATCAAAAGATTGTATTCTTAGCTACAAATTCAATTTTAAGGGATTAAAAATGCCAGGAATTTAGTGCCAAAAAAAAATCATATTGTAAGATCACTCCTGTAATCTTACTCACAGAAATTCTATTTTTAAAAAAATACAAACAATATAATATGTGACCATAGAAACACTACACTTAAAAACATTAGTTTTCACTCTGCAACTTACTGTAAAAAGCCAAATCTATCGGTGACTTTGTAAACAAGGTAATCAGCATCTTCCCAAGGTTCAATCTCTGCACCTTCTCGTCCCTAAAATAATAATGGAAAAAAAGAGTGTTACTGGGAATTTATAACAGTGAATACTTTTTTAAAAAAGAGCAAAAACCCAAGACATTTTTTTAATCAAACTATTTTTGGCAATATAATCACTACTATTAGTTACAAACTGGAAACTCGTATGTCAGCAAGAGCTGACATGTGGCTGAACTGTGATCAGATGAGGGTTCTTGAGGAAAATCAATGAGGAAAAAGGGAAAATGGCAGATATGAGTCAGGCAAGAAACTTACAAACTTGAAAAGTTTTAAAGCGACCATGTTTTTTTAGAGGAAAAAAAAAAGTCTGCCTTTCATCCAAACTTCTCAGAAGTGTAGGCTATGCACTTTGTCTCTCTACTCCTCTGCTTATAACCACACTGGCCCTGAAACTACTTCTGCCAAGGTAAAAAGTGACCTTCCAAAGGGAGGACTCATCAGTCCTCCCCAGTACATATTATACAAAATAATGGGTTTCATTAGGGCATTTCCATACATGTATACAATGTATACTCAGATCATATTAATCCCCATCTCCATCTATTATCTCCCTCTCTTCTCCTGCTGATCTTTCCCTCAAAAGTAGTCCCTCTTCATGTCTTTAAAAAAACAGATAAGCAGATAGATAGATAGATAAATTCTTCATGGCAGAAAATATTGGTCTTTCTGAATCTGGGTTTATTTTGCCTAACATGATAATCTCCAGTCTCATACCTTTTCCTGCAAATGACATAATTTTATTCTTTATGGCTAAATATTGCTCCTTTGTGTATACATGCCACATTTTCTTATGGATTCATCTGTTAATGGGCACCTAGGCTGATTCCACAACTTTGCTACTGTGAATAATGCTGTAATAAACATGGGTGTACTGGTAATCTTTATGTATGCTAAATTTGATTATAGACCCAGGAGTGGTATAGCAGGGTCAGATAGTAGTTCTATATATAGTTTTTTGAGGAACCTCCAAACTGATTTCCATAGTGGCTGCATTAATTTACCTTCCCACCAACAGCAATAAGGATTCATTTTTTGCCCCACATCCTCGCCAGCATTTGTTGTTGTTTCCTTGATGACTGCCATTCTGACTGGGGTGAGATGGAATCTCAATGTTTGTTTGATTTGCACTTCCTTTATGGCTGAGGATGTTGAACATTTCTTTGTATATCCACTGTGTTTTTTCTTTTTAAGAACTGTCTATTCAATGATTCAATCCAATGATTCTTTGTTCTTTTGGTGTTTAATTTTTGAAGCTTTTTATATATTCTGAATATTAATCCTTTGTCTGATGAACAGCCTGTAAAGATGTTCTCCCACAGTTATGTTCCCAGAGTTCATTTTTAAGTTGGTTGTAGGGTTGGGACACAGTTTCCATTATTGTGATTAGGTTTTTGTTGTTGTTTGTTTGTTTTGCAGAGGCAAGGTGTCACTCTGTAGCCCAGGCTGGTCTCAAATTCTTGATCCTCCTGCCTCAACCTCCTGGAGTTGGGATTACAGGCTTGTGCCACCATGCTGTGATTAGGTTTTGTAGCCCATGAAAAACCTAGCAACCTATTTAACTGTTTAAGCACTATAAAACTTAATAAACAGCACTATCATTCATGCATGTCTGCATGTGGGCTATCTCTTGATTCTGGAAATTTATTTCCGTTGACATGCAGAAGTTTTTTTAAATTTGATGCAATTCCATCTGTCAATGCTTCCTCTTATATCCTGAGCAATTGCAGTCCTATCTAGAAAGTAGTTGCTGGGCTTGCGGAATGGCTCAAAGGCCTACAAAATGTTAGACCCTGAATTCAAATCTCAGTACCACCCCCCCAAAAAAAAGGTACACAATTGCCGACAGTTGTCTGTGCCTTTATCTTCATGTTACCCCAACTCCCCCACCCCCAACGTCTCCTATAGTACATTCAAAGTTTCAGGTCTTACATTAAGATCGTTGATCCATTTTCAACTGATTTTTTAGGGCTTTTTCATGAGTAGCTCTTAATTGCTGATTTTCCAGACTCCTGTCCTTAGCTTACTGTTCTGCTCACTTCAGGCATCATTTACTCTTAGTTGCTAACTAACACTGATTAGTGTAGAGACCCCAAATGTAACTTTAGCAGCCCCTCAAAATTTACATTCACCTACAACTAACTGTCATATGGAAACCTCCATCTGAGTACATTTTATAATGTCTTCTCATGTGTTTCCCTGAGTAGACTGTGAGCATGCTGTGGGCAAGGACTGCTGAACAAACAAACAAAAACCCTAAACACAATACTGAGAAACTATGTCTCAACCAACCAACTTAAAAATGAACTCTGGGAACATAACTACTGAGCTGAATACTGCCTGTATGCCTTCCTGGAAGTAGGGCTTACAATTTCATGTTCCTGTTATTCTCACAAATAACAAAAAATAAAATAAACAAAATGCCATGCAAGTGATACAAATGTAAACCATGACATTTATAAATAGCTATTAGGACTTATTATAAAACTCAAGAAGTAGAATAATAAATAAGGAGGCATGCAAGTTGTCAATAATTATGATTCTTCTAGGATGTCAAAAACCAGATTCCATGCTACCATAAGGATAAAATGCTAATGAAAAATCACACATAAGTGTATAAATATAAAACCTAAGGCATGTAGTAAAATTATAACAGCACACATAACTATGCAGACAATGAGTATTTGATTCTGTATGCTCACTCAAGTAATTATTGAGTACCTAGTATGAGTCAGAAACTATTCTAGGTATTTAGGATACAAGAGTACATCAAGTAAAATAAATTTTTACCCTATAAGAGTTTACATTCTAAGAGAAAGAGCAGCCATCAAACTAAGTAAAATATGTAGGATGCTGATGTAAAAACTATTAAAGTGAAAAATACAGGGGATACAGAGTGCAAGGAAGAGAGAAGGATAACAAATACTGGAGGTCAGCAATCTCTCAGAAAGTACATCTGAAAGAGGTGAGGCAATGAGACACTGGGCTATCCAGAACACAAGTGTTCCAGGCAAAAGGCCCCAAGGCAAGAGCAGGCCTGGTAGCTAGAAGGCAGCAAGAGACTAGGTGGCAAAAAGGAGGGAGAAAGAATTTGGAGATGATGTCAGAGAAAAAAAAAAAAGTGAGCTCAATGTTCGCATGAAGTAAACAGACTACTTCTGTAATTTAAGCTCTCGAAAAACCAAATCCCTTTCTATTTATACAGTTTTTCTAATAAAACTCACTCAAAGGGTGAAAATGGATACTTACTCTGTCATATTTAGCAACTATTTCAGCTCGTTCCTGGGCAAGTTTGAGTGCTACATCCTGATCTGAATCTGTGGAGAGATCATTTGGATGAGCTGTTATTCAAAGAATGATAAAATTAGTTATAGAATTTAGATCAAATTATAATAACACAAAAAGTAAAAATCAACAATTCAAATACACTTAAAAGGAATGAAATACATACAACTTTAGAATACCAACCCGTCTACCACTTCAATATTATATTGAATTCAAAAGAAATCAAATTTATTAATACAGCATAAACTTCAGGAAACGATACATAAGCCCTCAAGAATCAATTTTGGGAGGAATTCCAAGATGGCGGCTAGAGGAGGTAAGCAGAAATGTGCCTCCTAAAGTAAAATCTTGGAGAGATGCAGGGGATACACCTTACAGGAAAAACCACCCAGAAAAGGCAAAACTTTCACTCCTCCACACCTCCAGCTCACGCATAGCATCTCCACTTCACATTAAATGGAAACCAGGAGGGCTACCGTGCGGCCACCAGACGCCAGCACCCAGACGGCTTGGGAAGACGCGGACCACAAGGTGAGCTAAGCAGTACACGGTACTCCCACAAACAACCCTGGGCCAGATCAGCACAGCCCGCTGGACGGACCGACCCCCACCCAGGGAAAAAAGAGAAACTGAATAATAAGAAATAACAACAAAAAAGACACGTAGCAAAGAGGGCGGGATGCCCTGAGCACCGGAGAGCAGGGGAGGGGAAATGCCTCACAACCCGGCTGGAGAAGGCAGGAGCAGCAGCAGTGCCCAGCAACCAGGAGTGGGAAAGCTTATAAAGTGGCAGTGGGAAGAAAACTCCACAGGAGAAGGGGGAAGACCCACTTCCCATATGAACTGTAAACAAACACACAGGCCTGAGAACGCGGGTGCAGTGTCACCTCCCCCAGTGTGCTTGGAAAGGGGAAAGCTTGTAGCAGAGGCTCAAGCACAGGAGAACTCTGAGTAAACAAAGCCTGCAGGGCCAGGTGAGTGTTAAACTCACTCCTGAGATCTGCATGAATAAAGCCTCCAGCAACAGCAGGCTGACAGCAGCGGGCAGGTGAGCCACAGTTGCAGATAGCCATTCACAGAACAGTATCCAGACTCTTCTTTTCTCTCTTCCTTTGATGAGACAATAACCAAACTACACCTGCATGCTGAAAAACTTACTGAAATTGTATTACATTTGAACTTGGGACACTGTGTGGGTTTTTTTTTGTTTTGTGCTGTTTTGTTCTATTTTGTTTATTTTTGTTTTCGTTCCCCTTTGATGAGACAACAATAGAGCTACTTCTGAGACACCATCTCCAGGACTGCAGGCTGAGGGACAAACAACAAAATTATTAACACTGAAACTTTATTGCATTTGAACTTGGAGATTTTTTTAATATATATTTATTTATTTTATTTTATTTCATTTACTTATTTTTTATTTTTATTTTAATTTTTTATTTTCAATCCTCTATCTCTGTAATGCCTGTTCAGCTTACTGTTGATTAGTACACTATCTCTCCCTGTTTATATCTTTGAAACTTTTTTTTGTTTGGTTTAGTTTTTTTCTACTTGTTTTTCCCTTTTTCTTTAACTACTTTGCTTTCCATCTCCTCTCACCCTTCCATTCTAAATTGTTATTATTATAAGCTAGAAAATACTTAATTCCATACAGTACATGGACAATAACAACACCAAGGGCAATGACGGAAGACACCAAAAACAGGGAAACCAGTTTCCCCACAACAAAAAATTAGTACAGGAACCAGAGGGGAATGAAGAAAACAGATACTCAGATCCAAACTCCAACAAAATGAAGATAAACTATGCCAAAGGACCCAATGAAGCCCACAAGAATAATTTAAAAGAAG